AGTACTTTACCTTCTTTTTCGTCAGTTGGAAGTCTTCTAAATTTACTGCTTTGCTGTAGCGAAGAACCATGATACAGCCAGTATCCAAGTCCCCCATACAATTTTTCTTATGCCAAGTTAGTTGTGACATGAAATACGTATTAGATTACAAAAGCTCAACTTAAAGTGCAAAATTGCAAGAGGAAGGAAATAAATCCATCTCAAAAAAAAGTACCAACTACCCAACAACACACTACTTTCACATTAGCCCTACTGGAAACAGTAACAGATAAGTTAAACGAGTTTTACAATTAGTGCTTTTTTTTTTATTTCTCCAGCATTCATTTGTTACTTTATTGAAAGAGCACACTGAATAAACTATTCAGAGGAAAATGCAACACTGTTAGCTACGTGGCCAGTTATTACTCCAATAATTGGAAATATAATCAAATTTTACTCTTCCATAATGGTAATTTTTATGAAGGTGTTCTGCATGTATTTAGTGACATCCTTATAACGTAGAAGCAAAAAGATCATAACCTTGCACTGATCCTTTGCTTAGACTAAAGTTAAATCTCACAATTATTGTTTCATAGGGTTATATTTGATTAGTTGTGTTTCTGTGTCATGCACTCCCATAGTAAGGTCATACTACTTTTTAAGGGATGGGCGAGAAAAACCCATACTAAAATTGTGCCTTTAAAAATATTTAATATAATCTATCAAAAATATTTAAATACAACCCTTTTAAAAAAAATTATTTTCCGCAAAAACTTCTATAGATAAACAAATAATTTTCTTCTATACACAACTACAACAATGAATTAGCCTTTAAAAATATTTAATATAATCTATCAAAAAATATTTAAATACAACCCTTTTTAAAAAAAATATTTTCCGCAAAAACTTCTATAGATAAACAAATAATTTTCTTCTATACACAACTACAATAATGATACGCTAACAACAATCTACAATTTTATATAAAAGGTTTTCACTCCTGTTAAATAACAATGCGACAAAACTTAGCTTCCCAGTAAAAAAGTAACGTAGCATATAATTTAAGAACGAATATTAATTATATCAATAAAAGGAAACTCTCGAATAATATTTATATTTATTTTGCTTGATGAAACCTTACGCATGAAGAACTCCAAAGACATCTTCGTGGTACCGATCCTCAGCCTGAGAAAATATAACAAAGTTTATACGTGTGATTCAAGTTTGTAAATTTTTTAACTAGCTTTCCTACAGTTTTCGAAATTATGTCTAAATAATATCATACCTCCTTAAGGCACAGCTTTTTCAAAAATTTGATAACACTTTAACACTATGGAATATACATTAATTTAAGGCCTAACAAGGTCTGTATCATTATCACAGTGATAAAACAAATAATAATAATAATTTTTGTTATATTAAATTGTAAACTACTAAAAAGGGCAGAAATTCTGTTTAAGATTAAATATTAAATTAAAATATTTTATTGTACTCGATTTGTGATAAAAAGAAGTCAAATTTTAAATACTTATTGAGTTACTTTCCAAAATTAAAATCCACACAAACGTCATCTCAGCATATAATCATCTGCTAAGTTATGCCTTTTAAACAATAAAACAGCAGTTTTTAAAATTTTGATCCTAGTTATAACGCCAATGAACTTACAATATTTTAATCTACAGCACTTTTGAATGACAATATATTTTCATAAATTGATCTTTAATTAATTTCTTATAAAAATTCTTGAAATTTTATGGTCAAATATTTTGATAATGGAAGGTTTTTGTTTGTTTTATCGTTCAAGAACGAGATGACTTGGGAAAAGTAGACCACAATAAAATGGCACTATAATCGAGAAATTCAAAATGTATCTTACCACCAGTTTTTCAAACTGTTCATCGTCGTCTTTTGATTTTCCGTCATAAAGAACAAACTTCAACGCTTTTTTGACGCCATCTGCCATGACTGCATCACCACAAACATAAACATGACCACCTTCTGACAAAAGCTTGTTGACTAGTAGTTTCTTTTCTTTTAAAACAGCTTGAACATATTTCTAAAACGTAGGAAACCAAATGAAAGACAAATCTTAGTCAGTCAATTATTTCAAGACCGATACGATTACTTATCATACAGATGCATTTTTTTTTTAGGCGCAGTATTTCGGTAAAGTGAAGTATCTGCCAGGGTTAGGTATAAATTTTCGTTTCTCTGAAACCTTTTTATTTCGTAGGATCAGTACGCCACCTTTAAAACGTCTTGTTTTATAAATAATCTGTAAACTACGAGAGTGAGTTCCAAAAACGTTATTTCTATCATTATTACATAATAGACAACCTCCATATTTTTGCTTTTTACAGTTCGCAGAGTTTTCACCTTCCTGCTGACCAATCACTGCCGGTCATCATGATTGGAGCTGGAAGCGGCATAGCTCCCTTCAGAGGCTTCTGGCAACAGAGAGAACAAGAGATGAAAGAACGAAAGTTTAATGATCAAAATAATAACGGGGTACTTTCTAGATTTGGTAAGATGGTGTTGTTCTTCGGCTGTCGGCAGCCAGGAGTGGACACGATCTACGAGTACGAAACATCCGATTTAATCACAAAAGGCGTTTTACATAAAGTCTATTATGCTTTCTCAAGACAGCCCCAACAACCAAAGGTAAACTTTCCAAGTTTTTGATGTGGTTTGATCTTTAAGAAATATTTATTAACACTGACTGGGGTTAGGAAAATTTCATTTGTTACTCGATATAGTTATACTTTATAATACTAGGAATGAAAACTGAGCATTATGGGAATAACCAAAACGTTAACTTTTAATAATGATATTTTGAAAGAATTTAAATATATTAATTCTGCGTTGTTTTCCTTATGGAACTTTCTATATATTCTGTCAAATGGTTAAATATTTTTCTGAATGTTACTAGATTGTGACTAAATGACAGCAGAACACTACACATTTCACAAACAAATGATAAATTTAACAGTACGATGCGTGTTTGAATTTCGCCTGGTCTCAATTTTCAGAAGAAGAAGACGTGTCACCTGTAAAGTTTAATAATTAATGCATTTAATATTGGTTCTAATAAAACAAATGGTGGAAAACTCTACAAGCCGACTATCATATGCCACTATAATCCAAAACATGTTTGTAAAATAATAACAATACGATAAATAATGGTAACAATTAAGGGCAGGAGACTAAGAAATGTTTCATTTTGTTGGGATATGCCTGAATCAAATGTTGTTGAATTTTTAGTTCACGTATTCCACTTAGTCATTATGTTTTCAACCAATAGTGATTTAGCTGGTTGTCGGCCATATTTTACTTATGATCTATAGTCACATTGAATATCACTTCATAAAAGAGTAAAATAATTAATATCATTAGTTGGAACGTGTGAGGTAATTATTTATTGTGTAACTTTTATTATTTAGACGATAGAGGGCCTACTCGATTTGGCGTCTGTACATCATATATGGATAGTCTACCTAGTCATGAAGTTCCATGTTTTATCAGAAGGTGAGTGTGTTTGCGAGAAATTCAAACCAAACCAATCTTTCAGACATCTCTTTTTAAAAACCAATCTTTCAGACATCTCTTTTTAAAATCTGTGATCACATTTTTCGTACTTTTTCCTCTATGTTGAAACATCTGCCGCCATTTTTTATTGGATAGCTATTGTAAGTAATACACATTGAGGAAAAAGTACGAAAAATGTGATCACAGATTTTAAAAAGAGATGTCTGAAAGATTGGTTTGGTTTGAATTTCTCGCAAAGTTACTCTAGGTCTAGCTGTCCTTAATTTAGAAGTGACAGACTAGAGGGAAGGCAACTAGTCAACACCATCCACCGCTAATTCGTGGACTACTCTTTTACTAAAGAATAGTGGAATTGATCGTCACATTATAATATCCCCACGGCTGAAAGGACGAGTACGTTCGGTTACAGGAATTCGAACCCGAAACTCTCAGAGTGCCAGGCCTTGACCGAAAAAACAAACAAACACGACAACCCAAAATTTCCAGTGAATTATAATGATATATCACACAATAGTAGCAGGTATGTATTTCAATACTGTGAATCTGATAAATAGTTAAATAATTTGAACTTGAACTAACTAAATACATTACAACACAGAGGTTGGATGATACTAGGAAGATTTGCCTCAAGAAGAAAGGTCCACCTTTCGAAAGAGCTCGGGTTTTTATCATCTTATATCAAGACTTCTTGAACCTACGTGTTTCTCTAACTTCATAACTTGTTCGGTGGAATTATTAATCAATTAAAGTTGTATTAATAGCTGATTAAATAAATATATCTGTTTTAGTCTTACAGATCTGTATGATATTACTATATTAATAATGTCCTGTCTATGATGATAACTTTTCCAGAATATAGAAGAGTATGAAACGTGGAAGAAGTTTAAATATCCAACAGTAGCTGATGTCCTTGAACAGTTTCCATCAGTTAAAGTAAACGCTTCGTTTTTACTTACTCAGCTGCCCCTGCTACAGCCCCGTTACTACAGTATTAGCAGCTCACCTAATGTGACAAAGAATGAAGTGCATCTAACCATGTCTCTAGTCAAGTTTCGTACAGAAGGTAAGGAAATAATTTATTTTTGTTTTCTTCTTATATTCATGAAAATCTTTAATAATTTATTAATCAAATGGATAATATTCTGACGAAATGTGAAGTCTTTATATGCGATAGAAATTGTCCGCTCATCCAGCACAGCGTAGGTAGCCCATTGTGTAACTTTGTGCTTAGCTCCAAACAAACGAGAAATTGATCCAAATGAAACGTTTTTTGGTGTGATCATTCCGAAATATTTCGGGCATTTATAACTATACTTTCATTCCCAGTTTGCAATGACGTTTTATAGTGGAGTTTCTTGGGGATATTAAAATGGAATAAATATATATGCTTCTTTGTTTATTGTTCTTCCTTCTGGTCAACTGTGAACAAGACAAAACAACAAAGGTCCTACTGAGAACAAATTTACTGATCTTACCTCACACAATCTTTGAAGCTTAAGTTGGTCCAATTTTTCTGTTGCCGTGGCTGCAAGGTGCTCTAATATCGTAGGTGCTGGAGGAGTTGTAATGTCGAGATATCTAGAGAGGGCCGTGTGCATGGTACACGGAGGAAGTCGATTGTATGGCTGCCAGACGCCATCTGGAATAAGATTATCAGTAAGTTCCTCTAGCTTTAAAGCACTTGCATTCTTAACATGACAAATCAATCTGACTGGAAAATGTTTGGAAAACAGTTACAATTGTTTGTTTTTTTATTATTTTACTTTGTTTTGCTTCAAGCTCACCAAAGTAAAACCAGTAATACACGTACAAGAATCTAAAGATCTGCCTTACGTACGCGACAACTTGGCTGTTAATTTTTAACTTAGAGGGCTAAAATGTTAGTATATTTAGTACATTATTTCTTTCTTAACGGACTTGCTTGTTTGTCCACAATAAATTATTGTTTTACATCTTTAAGTTCTCTTTAGAGGGAACAGAACATTTAAAGATAAGTAACTAAAAATTTTCTGAAGTTAAAAACCATTAGTGCTATTTAGGAAAACTCTTAGAGTTCTAAAGGATATAACCATAACAACTCTCAGAGTTCATGAGAACATTACCATGACAACTCTCAGAGTTCTTTAGGATATAATCATGACAACTATCAGATATTACCTTGGCAGCTTTCACATTTCAGTAAAATATTACCATGGGGATTCAGAGTTGTTTAGGGTGTTACTATGATAACCCAGTTTGTTTTTAAATAATATCATCACATCAACCTGTTCGGGCCAAACCTACCCACAAATGTTTCGACTTGAACTAAGTTTCTCTCAGACCTATCCGAAGGATCCAGAAACGACATCATCTGGTTAACAACGTTTGAAGGATTAACAGGGAAGACGCTCAGGTGATCGCCAGGTTCGTATGTCAAATTTGTGGCTTGTCTTGTGTCTAGTCGTACTAGAATTGTCTGTCGTCTGAAAACAAAATTACTGCATTGGTACATTTTCAGACTGATTGAATTGTAAACTTTTATTTTTAAGTTAAATCTACCGCGAAATAGAGCAACGTGTTTCAGTCAGTTTATTCTGTACTTTTAACACAACATCTCTTCATATTATCTAGCTTTTCTAAAAGATCTCATTTAAAAAGTTAACACATTAATGATAACATTTTTTTCTAAAGTAGCGACATCTGTAATCTCACTGAAATACTAACCGCAATGTTAAAATATAATAATATTAATACAACCATTATAATTATAGTATGTGTGATTTTTAAATACAACCATTATTTTAAATAAAATACAATGAACCATTTTAACAGGTATCTTATATAACACAACGTTGTATCCAACTTACTCAGAACAGAGAGGTTGGAGACGGGTCCTGGACAAGACCTTGCATGGTTGTACCTTCTTATTATGAACGTTGGCCAGACCTGACGTGATGATACAACCATTCAGTGAATATAATAACTTCAAAATCCTACTCAACTGTATTACTAAACTTCAGAAAA